TCTCCCCAGGAACTCTGCCTGTATTAACTTTCCAACCCGGTAGTCATGCCAGTCTCATGAAAGCACCATGAAATGTAGGTTTGTGCTCCCAGCGCAGATCTCTGGAGCTAGGTGTTCAGCAGTCCCAAGCCTTCCACTCCCTCCCTGCTCCGTTTCTCTTCCTCCCGCCGGTGAGCTGGGGTGGGGAAGGGGCTTGAGTCCGGCGGAGCCACAGCTCTGGTATGTTACCCCGTTAGCTGAGGTCTGCTCTTTTCTCCAGGTGTGCGCAGTCTGACACCGTCCTCTTTCCTGTTGCTCTCTCAGGATTAGTTGCGCCAATTAAATTTTCTAATTGTATCCAGTTTTAGGAGGAAGCCTCTGTCTCTCCCTCTACCTACACCACCATCTGTAATCCAGGGACTCTATCCTCTCTTGACTTCAGTTCCCTCATCTGTTCAATTGAAGCTTGGATTAGCTGATCTATGTGGCAAACCAAGTTTTTATTTTGGTGAAAAAAAGTTCCTATCAACTAGCAAGTTGTTTTAATAAACAAATAAATGCTGTTTGTTATTTGGAGAGCTCATATTTTTCCTTTCATGCTATTTATTGTAGGTTATAAATAGCCCTCCAAATTGTTATTTTTCAAATGTTAAATAGTAGCAAGGATATGAAAATAGTACATGAGTATGGTGGATAATGTCATACTATCTCCTCTGATAATAGATAGTAACTTTAAAATAATTTAAAGCATTATACCCTTAAATGAAACAGGAAGTTCTGTGTAGGAGGATAGGAGGAGGCTAAAACATAATCAGTTTAGGTAGTGAATTTGTGAAATGGTGCTCCCTCAAAAAGGTTTTATAAAGTCAGATGTGAAATGGTATCACATCCAAAAAAAATAAGGAAAACAAGCGTAATAACCCAGAATAAAACATAACAAAATGAATTATTATTATTTCTTTTAAGGACTGGTGGAATCTGAAACATTTTGGTTTTATTATTTTCACCTCCAATACAAAACTTTAAGTGTTTAAATGTTCCTTAAGTCTTTGTGTCTGTGTGTAGGAATAGGAGGGATGGGTGTCAAGAGGTTGGCAAAAAGGGGATAAAGAAGTTTTGGCACAAAACACAGATAATGTGTTTCACACTTAGAAGCATGATAGACTAACTTACAGATGAGGTAAGGTGGAGGGATTTAACAAGCTGTGGAGTTTTAAATATCTCTGATACTAAGTGCTTTTGGCTGCAAAAATAACTCAAAGGAACATGACCTAAAATATAGGAAAAAGCCTCTTATCTAAGCCATGAAATGTGGGGTTCTTTTGAACAAAATATACCATACATATACTATATAATACCTGAACACTGATGGCACCAGCTCCTGTGGTTCACTCCCTATTTTTGGTTCAAAAGTGCCCTTGAGGGGGTGGAGGGTAGCTTAAGGGCTTTGATTATCTTTAATAGTGGGGAGAGAGCTGCTCTGAGGCATCATATGACAGACACCTTCTCTGTACTGATTAGAAACACACCATTCAGTAAACAGTTGTTCTCTGGAAGGGTTTTCAAATTGCAAGTGAACTTGAACTCTAAATTCCATTGCATCCATTCCCATTTTCATTCAAAAGTTATTTATTGCATACTTATCTAAGCATTAGGATACAGGCCTTTACGAGGCAATGACCCTACCCTTCATGGCACTTGCATTCTTGAGAGGGAGATTGATAATGACGAAACAATAAACAAAAACATTGTTTTAGAGTAGTGAGTGATGTGAAGAAAATAAAGCTGGGCCCAGTCTTTACAGACCAAAAAACTTTGTGGCTATTTTTGATTGTGCGGTCAGAGAAGGGTGACACATGAGCTGAGACCTAAATGACAAGAAGAACCTAGCAAAGTACCAGGCAGAAGGATTAGTTCTTGAGCGAGAAGCGTGCAAGACGAATGGTTAACAGTGCTGGTTGGAGACTTTGGGAAAAGTAAAGTCCTCTGTGGCCAAAGCAACACAAGCACGTGTAGATGAGGTCCAGGAATTAGATGAGGAGTTTTGCTTTTATTCTGTGATTGGTATCCATTGGAAGTTTTAAAGCATGAGTGGGAAATGGGTAATTTAATACAACTGACATTTAAAAATTCACTATTGCAAAATACAGTATTGCACTTCTATTTTATTTCTTTGAAACCTAATTTCTAATTCCCGTGCAGGTCAGAGGACACCCCAGTCCTCTGTCCGTTTGCCCCAGGCTGTTTGTGCTCGCCAGGCTTGTTTGACCCTGACTCCATGCTGTTGACAGTCTCTGGGGAGCGTGTGACAGTTGGCAAGCGCGGTGAGACACAGCCAGAGCCAAGTAACTCAAAGAGCCAGGGCTGCAAGAGGGGAGGATGGGGAAGATTAGGTAGCAGCGTGATGGAAGGGCCGAGGCCTCTGCAAGCGTGGCAGCTATGCGCACAGTGATAGGGATGAAGGGGCCCCCAACGAGCCTCCTCGGAGCTTAAGGGGCCCCAGGTTGTTGCATCCCGAAGGTTCGCCGGGTTTGCCCAGATCTGACTGGAAACAACGATGGCTTGGGAATAAAGAAAATGGCCCCAGTGCTGGGGGTCGGGGGCGACTAAGGGCGTTTCCGCCTCTCGGGCCTAGGCCCCAACGGCTGCACCCCTGGCAACCGCAGGTGTTGATTTAAGAGCAGGCTCCAGCAGGCCTTCTCCCCACATCCTGCGGCGCGCACGGCTCCCAGAGGATCCGGCGCCGGGTTTTGTGATGTTCCTGCACGTAGAGGCCGCGCCCCAAGCTGCTGGCCAGAAGGCTGGACCCTGAGTGCCTCGGCCCTGCGGGAGTCCCCGCCTTCCCGCCTGCCTCCTGGCCCCCGACCTCTCGGGACCACTCTGCTCTGGGCAGCAGCCCCGCTGAGATGACTCTCCGCGCCGGCTCCGTCGGGCGTGGACGAAGTGAGCTCCCCAGAGCCAGACTCCCCAGGAAAACGGAAGCTTCGCAGTACATCGCCCACAGGCTCCTGCTCTGCCTTCAGATCTCGGCTTCAGTGGCATCGCCCAGTGAGGCCTCACCTCGCCAAGCTATCCAACTTAGCTAGTCACTATCACATCACCCTGATTTTAATGCTCCGCATTTCTTTCTGTCTCCTATGTCTTCTGTGTTTATTTCTGTCTCTGGAATGTTCGCTCCATGGGACAACAGTGCTTTTCCAGGCCAGTGACCGCTTCTAGGCTCTAGAACCCGGAGGGCCCGGAACGCATTGAGCCCTTCGTTTGCTGAACGACTGAACGCCTTTCCATGCACAGCCAGACCAAGAAGGGGTGGGTCTCTGTGGGGGCGGGCCTTCTCGAGGCCCCGCCCACGTACCGGCCCCAGTACTGACCCACGCCTCCCCTCCTCTCCTGGGAGTCGGGCGGGGCGGTGCTCTTCCCTCCACCTCCCCTGGCTGTTTCTGTGGCTGTAGTGAAAACCTGGAGCGGTGGGACGTCCGAGCGGCGGAGTGGCACCTCTCGCGGCACCTTCCCCCGCCCGCGGCGGCCGCGCTGGGCATGCTCAGTCGGCAGGGCCGCTCAGCTCCTGGAGTAGGAAGCCTGGGTTCTCCGGCTGCAAGAGCCGCGGCGGGGGGATAATGGATCCCTTCACCAATGGTGAGTGGGTGGGCCAGGGGCACCGTGGCTCTCTGGGGCCCAGAAGGCTGTGGGCAGTCGTCATGCACGGGGCTGCAGTCCTCCCCACGACGGATTTCCCACTGGGGTTTGGGGGCGGTGGGAAAGGACTGGGGGTGGCCGCTGGCGGCGCGGGGCCGGGGGCTGGCGCGAAGGTCAGTGCCACCGCCTGCCCTGGATAAGGGGCGTCGGGCACATCCGGACCCGAAGCTCCGCTGCGCGGCCAGGTGACGAACGGCAAACTTTGGACTGCTGTGCTCTGAGGAGGGGGCAGCGGGAAAGTTGGCACCCCGGGTTTGCCCCCGGAGGAGGCGATGTCAGCTACGGCTCTCGGGAGGGGAGGGTTATAAGCCTCGGCCACTGCCTAGCCCAACTTGAGTAGTGCCCCGGGAGCTGTCCCCCTGTCCTTCAGCGAGTTCCGCGTGACTTTTCCTAATCGGGCGGGGTGGGGATGGGGGGCTTGGCAGGTTAATTTAGTGCAAGGAAGGGAACTTGCGGAAAGGCTTGGGCTCACCGGCGCTCAGTGCCAAGGAGGTGCCTGCCCGCATTGCCACCCTCCTGACTGTTGCTGAGGCACTCCGCAGGGCGTTCAAGCTTCTTTTACCCAGCTCCTGATAATATCAGTTTTTCAGTCGAAGTCTCATTAAATATCAATAATCCGTCACGGTGACTTGAGGCGAGAGTCAAAGCAGGAACCTGCAGCATGCCCTGCAAACATAATCAATCCCATCCTAGTTCCGGTAGCTTTTGTTTGGACCAGAAGTGCCAGAGTCACCGTATAAGGGTGAGATAACCTACCATTTTGTGGCGTGGAGTGTATGGATTCTCTTTTGGGATAGAAAGTAGGAAAACTGCTAGTAATGGAGAATTCACACTCAGATTAGACGATTCACTCTCTAATTGACGTGTTTTCTTGCAGGGGATGGAGGTTACTTAAAGTAGACAGTTTGTCGCATTAATAGAAGCCAAAGTTGTACCTCCGTTTAGGTGGGTCAGTTGCCACCCAAGAGATAGAGATATTATCCACTATATCCCAAACCCCAACCAGATTATGTTTTGTGCTTTGTTTCATTCATGGGACTGCAAACTACTCATATATTCTCCCTGTCCCTAATTCAGAATGCTTTCTTCTATTCACATCTGCCTGTCTGTACTGTTTAATTAGGCTTAATGATGACAACTTTAATTCTGAAATTTTTTTCTCGTTAAGGTCTATTTGTAATTACTAAGGTTCTAAGAATAGTCTGATAAAGTTACTAAGAGAATAAGGAAGATTTGAGCTGAAAGAAGTCTTACAGGACTGTCTAGTACTTTGGTGTAAAAAAATGTTTAATACAAATCATTAAATCCTTTCAAATGAATATAATAAGGCTTTTTCTTTGTTTTAGGTAGAATGACTGGAGCTCCAATGTTAGTAGGATTTTAAATGTGAGATTTCACTAAATTAAAAAAAAAAGGAGAGAGCAAGGTTGAGTCACCCATTAAGTGGGGATTATTGCTAACTGATTTGGCGAGCCTCTGTCTACAGATTTAAAGTATTTTCTCAAGTCTTAAATTTGGGGCCTTTCTCTTCTCTTAAAATATGTTTCTGTAGATGTGAATGTTTGCAAACTGTCACATTTAGGAGAGCAATGGAGAAGTTTCAGAGAGGAGAACAAAAAGGAAGCAGTGCTTCAACTTTCATGTATGAAATTTGATTTCTAATCCTTTTCCTATCTGTCTTCCAGATTTTTCAGAGTGTGCTGGAGACAGTTTGGCAGTGCATCATTTTAGTGAATGTGTTAATCACTCCTCGGAGGTTTAGCTAGTGTCCTTTAACAAAGAGAATAGAAACAGCATCTAAGGTCAACAAGAAATTAGCTCCTAGTAATTTGAGGTGAACTGGTTATTTCAGAAATTTTGAAGAATAGCTGTAGAATTTTTTAGTGTCTTTAAAAAGCTCATCGTATAGCGGAAAGTATGTTTGACTCTGTACTTAATCCTTTTAGGTACAAAGGGTATGTACATCTATTTCTTCTTTATTTAGGTCTTGGTGTTCTGGTATAGAATATTTCTTCATGCATAGCATTTGTGATTGCAGGATTTATCAAGCTTGATATTGGTTTTTGTTACACATTCATCCTCTTTAATAGAATCTTCACCACTTAAACCCTTTCTCATATATTCCTGCATATGGAGAGAGGTGTGAAAGCCTTACAAAAAAGTTTCAGCTATTCCGGACCACATACCTTTCGGTTAAAAATCTTGTCAGTGGTTTCACCCTTTGACCTATAAATTTGCAAAGCAGGCACATTTAGTTTCTATTTCATACTTTCAGTATTCATCTATTACAGTAGGGCTCCTTGTTTTCTGTCAAAATTTGCTGCTGGTGTGGCTCATTTTTCTTGGACCCTGCTCTCTTGTCTGCTGATAATGGGTTTATTTGATGAACATCCTATGTTACCTTGTCAGGTAAAAATACTACTGTAACCCATTTAATATGCCTATCTCCAGAAAGGGCATCTAAGGAGAGACCTTAGTGTCAGGAATTCCCAGTTGGTTCCAGAGATAGTTTGATCTTGTCCTTGGGAGACACTGCTGACTCTTAATGCTGAAGAGTAGATATCCAGTTTGGCTTTGAATTTTTGGTGACTTTTTATGGGGAGAGAGGAATGTGCTGGACCAGTACTCAGGATTGGTTAGTCAGTAATTATTATGTCCTGTTAGGTAGAGGTGAAATATTAGGAAGTAGTAATTGATGTATTACCAAAAGTAAAAAAAAAACTTGATGGCAACTGTCCAGGTCTTTTGATGGATGTGCTAGGTTAGGGCAAGTTATTATTTGATGACTATCGCATTTGCATGCAGTGTTTAGGATATTTCAGAATAACTTAAATTCATGTAAAGGAATGTAAATGCTAGGGCACAACTCTCGGAATCTGGGCCTAGAAATCTGTGATTTCATTTTGAGGATACTAGAAGTATTCATCAGAAGGAGCTTTTGGGTTTAATGGGCAAGCAAATTCAGGACTTAAAAGCATATTGATGGAGGAAGGCTTCTTATTTTCTTGCTATTATATATATATTCTTTGTGCTTTCTAGTTTGTGGTATAGTCTGAAGTAAATAGAGGGTGGAAAAGCATTGATATCCCAGAACTGAAAACACAGTCTGTCATTTTTTTTATATGAACCAAGCATCTAGGAATCACTTTAGTGCAATAGCCTCCTGTATAGTTGAACAAGAGACTCTGTCTTTGTTTTTGTTTTTGTTTTCAGATTGGCATCCAGTTGGCACCCAGCTTCCACAGTGGAAAGTCTGGAAAACAAGTTAGATTTTTGTGAATTGTAAAACAGTATATAATTGTGATTTCATCTTTTTTGTCTTACAAATAGCACTTGTCCTATAGGTATGCATTTCTCCTTAAAAGTTTTAGTATCATCTGTCAAAAATGTGAACTTATTACATTGGGTGTATATATATTTTTTCTTCTTTTCTATCACAATTTATCCCACTGAGAGAAAACCCTTAAAAAATGGAAGATCACAGTTTCTTTGTATGATAGAATGTAAGTTAAATTCTGTTTATCCTCCTGTTTTGCTGTTTTGTTTTTTATTTCAGTTAAGTGAAATAGGGCTTAATAGTCTAAGGCTGAGGGTGTAACTAGAAACCAGTTTTTAAGGAAAACTGTGGTGGAAAATTGCTTTGCTTTACATAACAACTTCCAAAAAAGAGTGTCTTGGGACAAGTTGAACAGACAACATATTTTAGAAATGATTAAAACCCATGATTGTCACTTGTCTATAGACAATCCTTGAGAATTCAGCCTGAAAGATACATAACCAGAAAGGCTGGTTATAAGGAAATTATCATATGGAAAATGAGCAAGGGGTAATTTCCTCCTCAGCACTTGATTCAAACACCATTTTGTGAATGGCCACTTACAAGCAGATTTTCCGCTAGGCACAGTTGACAAGGAACCCACAAACCTGTCATCAGATAACCTCAAGAGAAATGAAATGGAAGAATCTAGTTTAGTTTTCCTGCTAATATAAAAAATAGAAATATAGAAGAAGTGAAAGGCAATAAAACTTTAAGACAGCTTTGTAATTATGAAATAAATGCACAGAATTGTCTTTATAACCTGTTCACATAATATTTGTCACAAGTTCACATTTCTAATGATGTAGTGTAATAGTCCTGTTAAGGAATAATATTTTGAACCTGCTCTGTGAAAGCATTAGGAAATTGAGCTATGGAGGAATTTATCCAAGGTTATTGCAAAATGTGGAATGGAGCTAGAATAGGCTTGTGGTTCAGCTGAGGTGAGAACAGTGTGCAGCCATGTTCTATCAGTCTTAAAAACTGTAAGATGGAGTGGTTGGAATTTGAGCCAAGACTAGTAGGCCTCTCTGTAATACTATTGGGGCAACCAGAGGAACAATTTTTTTTTTTTAATTTGAATCTGAATCCCTAGATATGCTTGTCTTCTGAATATTCACAGGAAACTGGGATAGGGAATGAAGGGAAATTTTGGGGCCCTTATAATGATACAGCTCCTTTTATATCTAGTGGCCTTTGTGGAGAAGGTTGCACATTGCCCTGCTGTTCCTGTGAAGTAAATGTGATGGTGAGAGTTCCTTTGTCTATGGAAGGAGACCAGGATTCCCTTGTAACCTGGTTCACTATTGTAATCCATGTGTCATTGTCCTGGGAGCACCTGTAGGACTCTGAGTCCAGATATCTTTAGGAAAACTGGGACTATATAGAATTAGTGATAAAGATGAAAGAGATGTAGAAATTTAAGGTAAAGGAGGAAGCTGACAGGCAGAGATTTTCACAGTGGTTGTATCTTGAGCCTTGTAAGTTATTGGCTCAGAAATGAGCCTAGTTTGGGGAGTAGGGCACCATAGTATGAGGTTGAAAGATAAAATCAGGGTTGGAAAGCAGAGTTAACTGGTTCTGGTTGGACAAAAGGATTCGATAAGTGAGAGGATGGATGATT